ACCCAAGCGACCCATTGTCCTTTTGGACAAACTAAGGGGTTGACTGTCACAGGTGTACAAGAAATTTAGTGTTTGTAAGTGCAAGGTGATGCACCTTGAAAGTAAGGGGTTTAGTTGTAAAAGACTTCTGAGCGAGTCACAGCTGGAGTACATGGCTTCTTGGCTTCTCTGCATGCTTCTCCTGTAAAACACTTACAGGAGTAAGTCAAGTAAAAATAGTATTTAACACCTGGTGGTGGTTTACTGCTTAGGAACCCCATCAAATAAAGCATGAAAAAAACATGTAAAAAATCTTCTGTTTACTTAAGAGTACTTAGCAGAGAACCAGTGGGGATAGAAATGTAAAGCATAATCAGATTAATTCAGAAATCTCCTTCTGGTGGTTTAGATCAGATATTTAAAAAAAAAAAATTGCAGGGCATGCTAAGCCTGGCTACGAACAAAAACTCCCAAAGGGAAGGAGTTGTCCTGGTGTAGTGAAGGACCCAGCAGTGCTTAGACCAGATGAAACGAGATCTCCACACAGAGTCATATAATAAGTGGGATTTTAAATATTAAATAGGGGGAAGAGGGCTTGATGTTTGCATCAATCCGCAGAAACCCAGAGCTATAAATTAAATAACGACAACAGCAACAATAATAATAATACCACCACTTTAATGGAAAGTTTGTAAATGAATAAAATCAATCTTGGTTTAACTGAAGGCAAGATCCAATACGTTAAATGTATTTCCAAGGGGGTGGATTATCCCCAAAACATTCACGGCAGGATTTCTGACACAAGTGACTGGCAAAGGTTTGCTGCTGTCATCTGTCTCTTTTCATATCTATTTTACTGAAGATGGATCCATATCATCACAAATAAGAAATGGAAATAAACCTCAATGAAGTAACTGGGAGAGACATAATGGTGGGTCCTGTGAAGAGGATGAACATGAATGTATGGGCTGACAGTCATAGTCAGTCTTGTTGGGAAATTAAAATAAAATAGTCCAAGAAGGCTCTGAATTTTTTCCTCCACTAACATCAGTATTTAGATGTTAATAAACCTTCTTAAGTTACCTGCCTATTTTCTGTCACATCAGAGTTTTACTTTAAGGTAGCTTAACTCAATTCTGAAACATCACGACCCTGCTCAACTAATGGTTTTTGATGTGAT